CACCTAGACATCAGAAGACAGGCTTCAGATACAGAAGGATCTGGACAGACTTGAACACTGGGCACTAACTAACAAAATGAAATTCAATGGTGAAAAAAGCAAGGTTCTACATTTAGGCAAGAAAAACCAAATGCACAAGTACAGCATAGGTGGCACCATGCTCAATAGTAGTAACTGTGAGAGGGACCTCGGAGTCCTAGTAGACAATCACTTAAATATGAGCCAGCAGTGTGCTGCAGCTGCCAAAAAGGCCAACACAGTGCTAGGCTGCATTAACAGAGGGATAGAATCAAGATCACGTGAAGTATTAATACCACTCTTCAATGCCTTGGTAAGGCCACACTTGGAATACTGCATCCAGTTTGGTCACCACGATGTAAAAAAGATGTTGAGACTCTAGAAAGAGTACAGAGAAGAGCAACAAAGATGAGTAGGGGACTGGAGGCTAAAACATATAAGGAACGGTTGCTAGAATTGGGTATGTCTAGTTTAACGAAGAGAAGGACAAGGGGGGACATGATACAGTATTCCAATATCTCAGGGGCTGCCATAAAGAAGAGGGAATTAAGCTATTTTCCAAAGCACCTGAAGGCAGGACAAGAAGCAACGGGTGGAAACTGATCAAGGAGAGAAGCAACCTAGAACTAAGGAGAAACTTCCTGACAGTGAGAACAATTCATCAGTGGAACAGCTTGCCTCCAGAAGCAGTAAATGCTCCAACACTGGAAGTTTTTAAGAAGAGACTGGACAGCCATTTGTCCGAAATGGTGTAGGGTTTCCTGCCCGAGCAGGGGGTTGGACTAGATGACCTCCAAGGTCCCTTCCAACTTTACTACTATTATTATTATTATTAGTATTAGTATTATTATTATTATATACTGCTCCATAGTGCTTTATAGTACTCTCTGGAGAGTTTACAATGTCAGCATGTTGCCCCCAACAATCTGGATCCTCATTTTACTGACCTCAGAAGGATGGAAGGCTGAGTCAACCTGGAACTCCGTCAGGATCGAACTCCAGGCTGTGGACAGTTTGCCTCCAGTATTGCATTCTAACCACTGCACCACCATGGCTTCCTAGTAAGAGGAACTGTATTTCAGGATTATGAATACCAAACTGGGAAGGGTTTCCTATATATTATAGGGAGGGAAGCTTCCAGTGCTCTAAAGATGATCAAATCCACTCTTCAATTCATCCTGAAGAAAACTGAGTGTTTCACCTTATATTCGATGGTAAGAATTGCTGATGTTCTCAACTACAGTAAAGCAAATGTTCTCAACTATAGTAAAGTTAATGGCAAAATAGTCTTCCTCCATTTGAGAGAAATAAGTAACTCTTGAGCTAGTTATAGCTAGAACATGCAGAATTAAGATAAATACTGATTAAAAGGACTATGCAAAAGTAAAGTAAAATCTGGGATATTTTCATATGGGGCAGGAAGTGTAGGTCTGAAAACAGGGTGCCCCCATGTTTAGCTTTTATAATTCTGCAGTTAACTATGTCCAGAACTGGGTATAAACATAGCAAATAAAGATGCCTGGATAACATTTATGCATTTGCTGGACATATTATATTCTGCTCTTTTTCATGAACTTCAAGGTGGTTTTGATGGAACCATCAGCTGAAGGAGAGGAGGCTTCATTTTAAAGGATGTTAAAAGACATCTAGGATTAAAAGATATTCCAGTTTAGAGACCATTCAGGGAAGAAACCTAGGTCGATATCTGACTTTCCCAAGGGAAGACAGACAATCTGGTGAGATTTTTGTAAACTGGCAGTTAACAATAAAGCTTATCTGATCCATTACTGGAGCTGTTTTTTATGGCTTGCATCTGACAGTAGTTCTCATGTGGTTCTCCCTCAATGTTATCCTTATAACAATTCTCTAAAATAAACTAGGCTGAGAGAATTCAAATTCAAAACTTTTTTAACCAGATGATATCATCTCACTTTTTAAGATTCTGGGCCCTGCTAAACCTTCATATCTACAAGCCTTTAGATCTCTCTTTGCAAAGCTTACACAGCCTAATCAATCAAAATGTCAACATCAGCAAGAATTCTGCTACCATGCTGGATTAACTCCATTTGTTTTGAGTTCTATTCCATTTTTATATATAAGCACAACCTGATTCTTTTTCAGTGAGTTCAGATATTATTGAGCTATGTTTATCAAATAAGCCATGGTTGGTCTTGCGTAATGCTAAAATGTGAAAAGAATTTTTCACATTTACAGTATTTGGTGCAGTGGTTTAGGCCTCGGCTAGAAAACAGGAGATTGTGAGTTCAAGTCCTTCCTTAAGTATGAAAGCCGGCAGAATAACTTTGAACACTCGCTTTTTCTCAGCCCAACCCTCCTCACAGTATTGTTGCTGTGAGCAAAATAGAAGATGGGCCTTCAGCCTTCATTTATACAAAACAAAAGTAGAATATAAATCTAATAATAAATAATGGCTGAATTCACACAATACAAGAAGATTAAACTTTATAAATGGTGTAACTGCTTAGCATAGTAAGGGAATTCAGTAGAAGATTCATATAATAAAACAGTTTGCTATAGAGCATGGGTGTCAAACTCAATCATGTCACGTGACGTATCGCAACATTTTTTGCCTTTGTGGAGCTGGGCTGGGCATGGCCTATGCGTGACGCACCTGGCCCACAGGCCACCACTTTAGCACCCCTGCTGTAGAGCAACAATTAAGATTGAATAAATAATTTGTGTCTCGAGCTAATTTTATAAATCTCTACCAATATTAATATTTTGTCCTAGGGATGCTCATTTTAGTAACTGACATAGAAAAAAAAAACTATTTCCTTTCAGTGGGCTCCTCTAACAACCTGGTGTATTTTGTTGTTTTTAATTGTATGTTTACAACTATTGTCATTTTTAATTGTATTTTATTGCTTTACATTAGCTTGTATGTTAGCTACCCAGAATTATTTGCTAAAGATGAGTGTCCATATCACTTACCCAAATAAATAAAAACCTTTTCTTCATCCCTATCATCCGTTTGTCAGATAAAAAATTCCAGGGAAACTTAACTGACCTAAGATTTCTAGTTCAGAAGCTATCCAAGAGTTTAGCTATACTTCCCACCTGATTTTTACTTTTTTATTTTTATGTTTTGCAAATCTGTCCTTCATTTGATTGGTTACAGCAGAATTTTTAGAAAGGGGTTAAAGCAGACATGTCAAACACAAGGCCCGGGGGCCGGATGTGGCCCGCGAAGTGGTTTCATGTGGCCCGCGAAGCCATCCTGGAAACAGTAAGGGAACGGCCCCTGCTGCCTTGGCTCTGGCCCTGGCCCAGGCCAGCCGGGAGCCAATGTACAATTTTGTGGTGGCCATCTATGCTGAAACGCATTCAGTCTTAGCACCACAAGGCTGTCTGGAAACAGCGAGGAACCAGCCCCTGCCATGTCGGCCCTGCCCCCTGGGTGTGTGCTGGGGAGGTGTCACCCTTTGTGAGGAATGAAGAAACCTCCTTCTGCCAGAGACCCTCAGATTTGTCCCACTCCTGCCCAGGCCCCCACAGGCACCCTTGATACGAACAATGTAGAGCTGGCCAGGCCACCCAATAGGCCACACCCACTCCATCCATGTCCACCCAGTAGGCCACACTCACCCTGGCCACACCCACCCAGCCCCCCAAGGGCAACCACAATGCTGATGCGGCCCTCAATGAAATTGAGTTTGACACCCCTGGGTTAAAGGCTAATTAGTTCATAAATAAATAAATAAATAAATAAATAGTACATAAATTGCTATAAATTGGTCAAAACATTATTAAAGAGAAAATAATCCCTCATAGTCATGATCAGACTTATCACAATAAAAACCATACTACTGCTATAAATGAAACCTCTGCCTCAGTCACCATTTAAAGTTTTTGTGAGAGAGTGAACCAATATGTATGTACAACTGTACTTGCAGATGATTACTTCCATTTCCAATTGCCTTTTGATGAAAGTTTGCATTAAAGTCACCATGAAAAATCCTTGGGAAGAATGGAAAAGCCCTCATATGGACTAGTGACTTATTCATGAATTGGAAACAGAAAATGGGCACGCACAAAGAAATGAAAACAGTGGGATGAAATCAACATTGGAACTAATTTTAATTTGTTAGGGATGATAGATAGCCAGGAACATGGACAACACCAAATTATTATTTTTTTATTTTATTTTTTATGTGTACCAATGTCTCCCCTAAATGTTGGAAATGTAATTTGACAAGTGGAACTTACTATCATATGGGGTGGGAATGCACACGAGCTCGTGATTTTTGGAACAGGATTAAAGTATGGTTGGAAGAAATATTAGAGCAAGCGGTAGAACCAAAACCAGAACTCTTTCTATTAGGTTTAACTACACAAAAGCATGACAAAGGCATACTTTATTTAATGCTACACATTTTAACGGCTTCCAGACTGGTTTTTGCTCAAAATTGGAGGAATAAGGGAACCCCAACGGAAGAAGAGATCCTGCATAAAATTCTATCATGTGCTGAGATGGACAGGCTTACAATGATTATGAAAGACAAGACAGAACATGAATACTTCGAAATCTGGGGCAAATTTTACCATTGGTATGAATTAAGAACTGCTCGGACTTCAAGCTAATGGTAGAATTAAAAGATATATATAACTGTACATATAATTGTATATATAATTGTATTGTATAGAAGATGAGGCTTATAAAGAGGTTAAGAATGATGTATTAAACTTTTGTACCGTGATAGGAACTGATAGGAAAATTCATTCTGGAATGTCATGTTTGTCCATTGTTGTTTTAATTGTATTATGAATAAAAATTATTAAAAAAAACACCAAATTATTTAGGACAAAGAATTTCATAAAGAAGAATCCAGAATTCTGTTGTCTGATCTGAATGACAATATAAATGCTCCAAATATTAAAATAAAATAATATCTTCAGATTTGGTATGATTAAAATGGCAAACTCGGTGAGTTCAGTTTTAATGAAAGTGAACATAAAACATGTAGGTTTCACATACATTTTATTTAATTGCCTTTTTAAAATAATTACAAAAAAGAAAAAAGGAACACAAAGATAACTGATACATACACTGTCAAAGAAAAAGAAACATATAGAAAGTGCTTTAACAAAAAAGTAGAAAAACTACAATAAAGAAAAAAAGTGTATATTATTATAACAGTAAATAGTTACAATGCTATATATATACTTATCCAATGCAAATATTATTCACCTGTACAACTCTCATTTTTTTAACCTATCTGTATTTTGTATAAATGAGTCCCATATTTCATTTTACTTTTGCATACAAAGTCTATGTCTATAGCAGAGGTGGGGAACCTTGACTCTTTTATGACTTGTGGACTTCAATTCCTGGTGGCTCAGGAATTCTGGGAGTTGAAGTCCACAAGTCATAAAAGAGCCACGGTTCCCCACCCCTGGTCTATAGGAATAAGCTCATAGATGGCTTATGTAATCAGATCTTCAGTTCATTGAGTGAATGGAGCAATACATTTATCTTTCCAATGCTGCAATATCAGTCTTTTGGCCATAGTAAGAATACAGAGAATCCATTTACCTTGTCTGGTTGTCAAATTCCAAGTACTAGATATGTAATTTCAGGGGAATATTATTCTCTGAAAGTTTTAGCTCTTGTTTCACAACCATATTTATATAATCCACTACTTTCTCCCAAAACCTAGTAAGTATAGGATGTTGCAAAACATATTATAGTATCATGCTAATATGTTTATGACAAAGATATTGGGAGAAGAATGAAAGACCTGGAAGATCATGACTAATCCCTTATACAAAAATTAAAAAATAGGGCAGTGATTCCACTTATTAGATATGAAATATATAAAACTTGAATGGACAATTTTTAAAATTCTATTTAGAATTATATAGCAAACCAGAGAATATGTTGACTGAAAATATAAAGATCTTTTTAAAATAAGTTAATTTACCACACTTAACTGATGCACAAAAACAACTTTTATTTGCTTCTCTATCTGAGGTAGAGAGTAAACAAATAATTTTAATCATGGCAAGTGGTAAAACACCAGGATTGGATGCATTCCCTATTCAGTAATATAAAACATTTATAGATCTTTTGGTGCCAAAATTTAGTTAATTGTATGATGAGATATTTGATAAGGGAATTTTATCAGCAGCATTTAAACAGGCTTATATTACCGTTATACCAAAGATCACACTCAAGTAAAGATCACACTCCAAGTGCTAATTATCATACAATCTCATTGATTAATTTTGATAGAAAGATATTAACAGCAGTGTTAGCAAACATATTACAGCAAGTGATATTGTTTGTTGTTAAGAATGATCAAGCAGGATTTATAAAAATTCGCCAAGCAGCAGACATTAAGTTAGTTGTAGATAATAAGAGATTTGAATAAAGCTACAGAACAATTTGTGATTTTATCATTAGTTGCTGAAAAAGCCTTTGAGAAAATATATAAACAATTCATGTTTACCATACTGGACAAGTTCAGATTTCCTTTGAAATTCATAAAACGGGCATCCTTGTCTGGTTCCTCTAAATAGTGAGAAAGTAGGAGAAAACATATCATTAACCTTCACTTTACATGCAGCTAGTGGTGGGATTCAGCCAGTTCGCACCAGTTCAGTAGAACCAGTAGCTAAATTTTTGTTGCCCAGGCCCAGAATGGGCTTCTGGAAGCGGCATCCACACAGAGAACTGGTTGTTCACTTATTTGAATCCCACCACTGCATGCAGGCGACTCATATAATATCTTGCTCCATTTTATGAATTCCAAAAGAAATCTAAACTACATTCAATAGCAAGAGACTTGTGGAAATGGCAAATTATTGCAATGGGAAACTAACCACTGAGTAATGTTTATTTGTACGTTCGGTGTTCAAATTCAAAAATACCTATTTGAGTATTTCAGAAAACCATGCCCTATTTTCCAGATTTCTCCACCTTTCAAGGGTGTGGAATCTGTGCTGCTCCAGGTATTGCTGCATGACAACTATTATCTTTGGCCATCCTGACTGAAAACACCTTTTCAAGCAATATCTGGAGAGCTATATTTTTCCATTACCATCTTCCACTCTCCATATTGCCATAGTTCTTGCTCCCATTACATCTATTATTGTTAGCAGCATTAAGAGCCTTGACTTTAAGCAATAAAAGCAAGTTATAGCAACCTTATTGGCTTCTTTATTGAGCTTAGCTCTGCTGTCCAGTGGAAATGTCGGTCTTTAGAATCAGGTCCACTGTATTCTCTTTGTCTTCCTTCCCTGCCTCTCTGTTCAATTTAATCATGTGTTCTTTGCTGTTTATAAAACTGTTTTTCCTGCATTTTCATAACAAGCACTAATAAAATACCCAGAATCAGAAAGGTCATCAAAGATCATCATTGAGATCAAACACACAGTAGTGCAGACAGTCTGCTGCTATAGGATCTTAGGTTGTCAGCCTTTGCTTGAAAGTCTGATGAGAATTCATCACCTCCCTGGGCAGTGGCTGGATTCCTGCATCATGCTAAAGCATATTGGGTTTAAATATGGTTTGTACTGTTGTGTGTGTTGGAGTTTTAATTGGTACATGCTTCCGGAAACATGCTGACAAAAGGTGAAGTTTATGACATGGAAGCCTAAAGAGGAAAACATGTCAGATTTAAGAAAACTTTTCAGACTGGAGAGCAGTTAGCTCTCCTTAGCTTCCATGCTCTCTGCTCTGACTCAAGCCCCAGATGGACAAATAACAACAACAACAACAACAACAATAATAATAGAGTTGGAAGGGACCTTGGAGGTCTTCTAGTCCAACCCTTGCTCAGGCAGGAAAACCTATATCATTTCAGACAAATGGTTGTCCAGTCTCTTCTTAAAAACTTCCAGTGTTAGAACATTCACAACTTCTGGAAGCAGGTTGTTCCACTGATTAATTGTTCTAACTGTCAGGAAATTTCTCCTTAGTTCTAGGTTGCTTCTCTCCTTGGTTAGTTTCCATCCATTTCTTTTTGTCTTGCTTTAGGAGCTTTGGAGAATAACTTGACTCCCTCTTCTTTGTGGCAGCCCCTGAGATATTGGAATACTGCTATCATGTCCCCCCCTTGTCCTTCTCTTCATTAAACTAGACCACAGGTCGGCAACCTGCGGCTCCGGAGCCGCATGCGGCTCTTTGAGCCTTCCCCTGTGGCTCCCAGCCTCCTCTGCCTTTGCAGAGAGAGACAGAGACAGAGAGAGGCAATTGCGCTTCCCTGCTTCTCTCTCTCTCTCTCTCTCTCTCTCTCTGTGTGTGTTGTGTGTGTGTGTGTGTGTGTATGTGTAAAAGAGAGTGCACTCACAGTGTTCTCCGAGGAGCTGAAAAGCTTACTGGGCGGAGCTCCTCCCTTTGCTGCGTCTCTGCAGGAAGCAGGAAGGCAGGAAGGGGAGGAGAGAGCTAGCTAGTCCAGCTAGGCTGACTCAGGAATTCTGGGAGTTGAAGTCCATGAGTCATAAAAGAGACGAGGTTGCCTACCCTGAGCTTGTTGGACAACAGCTTGAAGCTTGCCAGGTGAGCAGCAGATAGGAAGGGGGGGAGAAAGAGAGAGAGAGAGAGAAAGAGAGAGAGAGAGAGAGGGAGGGAGAGAGAGAGAGAGAGGAAAGAGAGAGAGAGAAAGAAAGACAGCGGGGGAAGAGGAGTGGCAAACCAAGGGCAGATACAGAGGAGGGAGAGAGAGAGACCCTTTTGACATCTAAAATGAAAAAACACTGCATATATCCTTTTTTTTACCTGTGTGTGTATGTGTATGTATATGTATATGTGTGTATATATATGTGTGTGTGTGTGTGTGTATACATACATACATATATATATATATATATATATATATATATATTATATATATATATATACATATACACACACAACACACACACACACACCTATAATAAAGGTAAAAAAGGATATATGCAGTGTTATCTTCATTTTAGATATCAAAAGGGTTTTGCGGCTCCCAGTGTTTTGTTTTTGGTGGGAAACGGGTCCAAGTGGCTCTTTAAGTGTTTTGGGTTGCCTACCCTGAACTAGACATACCCAATTCCAGCAGCCTTTCCTTATATGTTTTAGCCTCCAGTCCCCTAATCATCTTTGTTGCTCTTCTCTGTACTCTTTCTAGAGTCTCAACATCTTTTTTACATCGTGGTGATCAAAACTGGATGCAATATTCCAAGTGTGGCCTTACCAAGGCTTTAAAAAGTGGTCTTATATCCTGAATAGTGGGCCTTATTCAGGATGACAAGGTGGAAGCTTACTGCAAGGAGGTTGAAGGATTGGTGAACTGATGTAAGGAAAACAGCCTAGTTTTAAATACCGGAAAAAACAAAGAGATCATCGTTGATTTCAGAAAAGTCAGGCACAGCCACACTTCTCTGTGCATAAATGATTCACCTGTGGAGATGGTTACCAGCATCAAATTCCTGGGTGTGCAGCTAACGAGTAGGCTGACTTGGTCGCTCAACAGTGAGAAACTGGTGAAGCGGGCACAGCAGCGCCTGCATTTTCTGCGTTGCGTGAGAAAAGCACATCTTCCTTCCTCTGTCCTGACCACTTTCTACAGGGGGACAATCGAGAGCATCCTGTCATACAGCATCACAGTCTGGTTTGGAGGCATCACTGCTTCAGACAGGAAGGCAGTGCAAAGAGTGGTGAGAATGGCCGAAAAGATCATTGGCAGTTCCCTTCCTCCCATCTAGGATATAGGACAGAAGCGCTGCTTGAGCAGGGTCCGTAAGATTATCTGGGACACTATACATCCTCTTCACAACCTGTTTTCCTTGTTACCTTCTGGGAGGAGGCTTCGTGGTATCCAAAGCAGAACATCCAGATTCAGCCAGAGTTTCATTCCATACAGCATTAACCTTACGAACTCTCAAGCTTCCTCCTTCCGTTATATATTCAAGATGGACAATATTTAATATTTATTTGCTACATATATGTAGGGATGTGGGTCTATACATATGTTGTTCATAGTATGTTTAGGTGTGTGTCATGTATGTGTTTCACTTTGAGAGCGGGCAACTAAATTTCATTTTTGATGTGCGCCATCGTGCCCACAGTATAAAAATGACAATAAAGGTTATCTTATCTTATTAACACTTCTATTAACTAATGTTCTTTGTCATGTGCTAGACTACCTATAACTGTATAGATTAGCCTAGAATATAAATAGAATATATTTTTTGCTCATTGTGAAAAAATGGGGATCTGGTCTTGGAAAGGGGGAAGAGAGCAATGAAATATTAATGGAGAACAAACAGCAATTTAATTGTGAGAAAAATTCATAATAGCCCCACTTTGATTCTCTTTCATGGGGTAAAGAGAAAGTCTGACAAACTTCAAGATTCTGTCATTACTATATCCTACACCAATAAAATAGCATTTTTAGAATCTCCACTGCTTGTTCTTGACATAGCAACATGCGAGGACTGAAATTGAGTAATGTATCTTCAGTAACAAGTGATTTGTGCTGCACTTATTTCTCTCTGTGCATTATTGAAGGCCAGTAAGCATGTGCAGTATATCCCAGGTACCTAAAACAGGGGGTCTCTTTACACTAGACTGCAGCAGATGGGTAACCAATAGGAAGAGTAAAAAAATCTTGATTGAAAATCTCTGCATCCGCTGTAGCCATTTGTAAACCTGGCATGCAATTACATGTTTGGATATGACCTCTTGGTAAATTCAGTACACCAGTTATTATAAAATAGAATCTAACCAGCCCCAATATCAGCAGACTGTGACATAAAATTTACAGAGTTGACCGAATTTCCAATTTTACCATAAAGATGAAATTTATGTGATATTTTAACTGTTAGGAGATCATGATTTCTATTCCATTAGAGCTACTATTCTTGATCTCAAACCATTTATGTGATCTTGTATGAAACAATAAAGAGATGGTCTGGGCCATTCAAATCATCTTTGCTCATGTTTCTATACTCTTATTTATTCCAAGGTTTGTAAATTACTTTCTAAAGGACTTTCCACCATCTTCCATGTTGTGAAGGAGACTAAGATTAATGCCCTCTCTGCAATGGAAAAACACAAAGGAGAAAGGGGCCTCTATAGAGAAAAACATTTGAAAAAAAAAAACTTATTGGGAATTGTAAAGGTCCTATTCAAACTTGAAGAATACCAGGACAGAGTTGTCACTTAGCAACCTGGAGCAGTGTGGCATGATTTGGATTCCAGAGTGGGAAGGCAAACAATAACTCCTTGCTACCCTACTGAGAACTCAAAAGCTTGAGGCTCTCTTACTTCTGAGAGCAAGCAACCGAGTGTGAAGGATGGGGAAATCTCTCTCTAGAGAACAGTGGAGAGATGGCAAATATAAGAAAAGGTTTTGCAAATTCCCACCTCACACCCCCAAATATCAGGCATTACTGTACTGTTGTTGTTTGCAGTTCTCCACTGGAAATCAAAAAGTTAAGCAAATTTCCAGTAGCAAGAAGAGAGAAATAAATTTTACTCCTCTCTTCTTTCCAACATAGGAGAGTCCCTTAATTTAAATAGGGCTTTTGGTCATCTTGCTCAGTTTTGGTCATCTTACTCAGGTGTGTCTACTCTGTTAAGCAGCAGCTTTGCAGGGAGTCATAAGGGACTTTTTTTTTGTGGTCTCTTAAAACTCCAGGGATTAAATGATACCCTTTCATGTGCAAAATATGAGAGCCCCTCTGTGAGGGAGATGAGCAGTTAAAAAGTTTGATTTATATAAATAAATAAAATATCTGCTTCACCATTTTTTCTAACTTGATTCTAGAGTAAAGAAAAAAAGAAAGAACACTCTTCACAATCTACATATGAAAATTTTTATTTACTGTTAAACCAAGTCCATTTTCATATTAAAATGTAATGAGTTCACATTAAAACTAAGCAATAATGGTTCTTGTCTCTCTACTGATGAAGAAAAAAAATGCTCACATTTATGCAGATAAGGTTCAAGACTAGTATTTCAGGTAGGACAAGTATATCAGGGCTCCAATTATCGGGAGGACCACTAGGCAGCACCTAAGAGTTTGCTCCCATTTAGTGGTTATCTGGACTCAGGTTTAATAGTTCTAATCTCAAGTATCAAGAATCTTCTTGTCTGAACGTTTGGAAAAAACTGGTCAGACATCATAAATTGTAACACTGCCTCTCTCCTAAGGGTAATCAAATACTCAGGATTTAATTATTCCTATATTAAATTATGCTCTTAAGTTGCATAATCTTTTCGTATCTTTTTGTTCCTAGATGGATAAAAAAGTTCACGGTGTGCATATTTTTGGAAATACCTTAAGTGTTATGGAACCATTCAGAAAAAAAAATTACTAGTGCATGTCCAAATAACATCTCTGATTTCAGAGTTTCTGCGTTATAGCAGAACAACCCACCCTAGTCAGGAGTTCATAGTCTGCTTCTGTCAGGTTCGTTGGTAGAGCTTCATAATATTTGCGTCATGAAGTTGTTTCCATACCTTCCGTTCTAGATCAAAGTCATGGTTGGTATAAAAGATTAAACGCTTCCATTCTTTATCATAATAGTGATCTGAATACTTTTGGTATCCTTCAGTGATATACCCATAAGCGCTTACCTGGGAAAGCAAAGGGCTATCATTGGGGAGGGAAATAAATCTGGTTGATTTGAAAAAAGCCTAGTTAGATACATGAGAAATACTTAATAAATAAATCCACGAGCTCATTGGATTTACTTCTTCATTATCCTTTTCTACCAATAACTCCATGGGAAGCTTTTTTGAAGGCTGGGGTAGGGGCAATTTGCTCTTCCACCCAACAGGGGGTAACAATGATGAAGGAGAAAAGGCAAAACTACAATAAATGCTACTCCTATGGGGTTGGGGTGGGAGATCAATCCTCTCCAAAGCACTGGCTCCCCAGTCTTAAAGGCAGCTCTTATAATGCAATGAATAAATTGCAAGAGATGGTGAAGAGACAACTGACCTAACCAAGTATGGCACACATTATCCACAGACCATAGAGCTTTGATTTGAGAATATGGAGAACTACTTGCTGTTAAAAGCAGTGATAAACACATACACATAGATATGCATGTTTGTTATCAAGATAAAACATGCATTCCTTAAACACCAAGAACTAGGAGCTGTGACCAAAAAGCCAATATTTTAGGAATAGTCAATCATAAGCTTTAATATTGTTAAACCATTAAGATGTTGAGTTATGTATTCTTATATCTCAATGATTAACTAATTGGAGAGCATTCCCATGAGTAATATGGAAACAGCCAACTTCAAACCAGCTGTGTAAAACAAGTGAGGAGAAATATCTGTGTTACTACAGCAATCATTCTTCTGCAACTGAGTATTGTGGCTTGATTTGAGGAGATGAGGGGAAGGATAGCTTATAACCTTGGGAAGGGTACTTAAGAGTTGATATTTGAAAGAGAAAAGGGAAGAGCAAAAAGGCAAGATTAATTTAAAGCCTTTTGGAAAAGTAAAAGATGACTTTGCCCCTATATGTATATGGTGAATTAACTCTGTGGAGAGGTCAAAGGAATCCAAGAATTCCCAAAGCTGGAGAGGAAGTTGAGGAAAGAAATGTGCTTATCTCATTGAAATCTGCTCTTCAGGAAGCCTTGGGGATGTCGGGACTTTCAGAGTTCCTTCAAACATTGTTTACAGAAATTAACTTCATTAAGATATGAGAAAGACATGCAACAGAAAAGGTTTAACCATAAGTTAGGCATTAGAACTGCATTAGGTGGCTGGCATGCAGATGTGGCGTTCATGAAGTAAATCAATGCCAGGATAGCTCACTCAGGCAGAAAGAGTTTTAATTTGAGGTTTCTGTTTTTTTAAGTCAAGAAAGGAAGAGTTGAAAGAATATGATTAAAGGAACAGCAACACAAAATGGTCATGCAAGGACTAAAAGCATATGCCCCTGTCCTGAGGCATTTCTCTAGTGAAGTAGAGAAAAAAAAAAAATCCAAATGTAATAGCAGCAGATCCTCTGATTGCTAAATAAGTGTTTCCTAAACAATGGTGCAAGAGACAAATGTCTCTGTTAACTTTGTGGCTCACCTTTAAATTCTATGCAGCATCTTTGAACCCTTACCTGATCACAGAGGTGGAGTGCAGTCAAAAGAAGGAAGGCACCTGTTGTAGGTCTATAAATGCGCCAGTAGGGCTTTTCTAGAGATTTGGACTTCAAAAACCTGGGGTGGGTTATAAAAGCAGGTTTTAAAAAGTAGATCAGAAATGAAAGCTGAGCAGGTCTCTCCTTGGGGTGTTATCAAAAAATGAGCTGCTGTTCAGCACTCAACAAACAGGTTGAAAGGCATTTATGAGGCATTCTTAAAACTGACCATACATATACGCTCATAATGAATTGTGTCTGGTTTTAAAGTTGCCTTGGGTTCAGTCTGGTAAGGGGTTCTTTACCTTTAAGGCTGTGAAGGAGGAATAGTTTAAGAAGCCACAGCTGCATTCCACACAAATCTTGCTTAATGCCAGTCTGATTACTCAAAACCCAAGAATCCCATCCTGAACTGAATCTGACAGCTGGAGATGGCAAAAAGTTCCAACCTTGGAACATGCCAAGCACAAAAGAGCCATTTCAATGTTCTGAGTTTATTTCACGTGAGAAATTTATTCTGCACGTGAAATAAAACTCCCACTATTTTGTTCCAAGTGGGAAAGAAAACCCAACAATTTCAAGAGGCCTAGTTTTGAGGCTTCTGATTGTTCCAAACACTGGGATGGAGTTGCTGTTTTGTGGCTTGTGTTTGGGCTTCTTCCTCCAAAGTATCATAATGGCTAGTTCAGAAGCTGGAACTTCTCATATTCCTGCTAATGTTGTTTGAGAGTGGATAGAGTGGATGGGGCAATATGAGAGTGGAACGTGAAAGAAAAAAAATACAGGTAAATACATGGCAGAAGAAGATGGCTGCCCAGAGTTGCCTGTCTGCCTTCCAGATTAGTGTGGTTGGTTGGTTTTTAAAGAAACTTTGTTCTTGTAGGTGGACTAATCATCCTATGGGAACAGAGCTTCCCCCCCATCCCCCACCCCCAGGGAAATAATGCAAAGGGAAGATACAGAAGTTTGTACCATCTCCACAAGAGTTGTTACTGTACTGCTTCTGAGGTGTAAGTACAAAGGTTAATAATACATGATTGGCATACTGAAAGTTCTGTATGTGTATGTCCTGCGCATGCTCTCATATCTGATCGTAACTTTACAGCATTATTCTTTCATTAGGAAGCATCAACAACCTGCTGGTTCATCCCAGAATGGAAACAAAATCATCAGAAAAATCATAATGTTGCTTTTGTTAGGTTTTCACCTGGCCAACAGGCTGAAAAATAAAAACAAAATCTGTGCCTTCTGAAACTTAGCGAAGGGAATGTAAACAAAAATATAAACAAATTTTAAGAGAACAAATTAATTACCAAAGACTGAAAGAAATGTTAGAGAGCTTAGTTTCTTTCTTGGTCTAACAGTGTAAATGACCCTGAAGGTTTACTAAAAAGATCATTATCTGTTTTTTCTGTTGAGACTGAGGCGGGGGAGGGGATGAAGAGCTGATAACATCTGCTAATCTAAATACAATTTTCAGATGTTTTTGAAACTTGTTTCTACTCTTTTCAGCAGAGATTGGTTGTAATAGGTTAATGTTTTTAAAATCACAAGTTTGGTCAAATGTTCTTCCAGTTGAGCATTGTGCCATTCTTTGTTGCAACATCTGCCCTGTGGAACAGCCTTCCCCAATTTAGTTTGTCACCCTTCAAGATGGCCCTGAAGGCAGAGAAATTCCCCCTTCAGGCCCTGGACCAGGAAGTTGGAGGATCCTGTTGTGCAACATAACACTACATATCTGGTTGCTGATATAGTGTGTTTCACATTGTATTTTATATTTTATCATTTTCCTTGTCCTAGATATTTGTAATCCTTGTTAGCCACCCAGAGTCATTTAGCAAGAAGGTAATCATATAAATACAGGTAGTCCTTGACTTATAACGGTTCACTTAGTGACCGTTTGAAATTACAACGGCACTGAAAAAAAGCGACTTATGACCGTTTTTCACTTATGACCATTGTAGCATCCCCATGGTCACGTGATCAAAATTCAGATGCTTGGGAACTGACTCACATTTATGACCATTGCAGTGTCCCGGGATCATATGATCACCTTTTGCAACCTTCTGACAAGCAAAGTCAAAGAGAAAACCAGATTCATTTAACAACTGTGTTACTAATTAACAACTGCAGTGATTCACTTAACAACTGTGGCAAGAAAGGTGATAAAATGGGGCAAAATTCACTTAACAAATGTTTCACTTAGCAACAAAAGTTTTGGGTTCAATTCTGATTGTAAGTTGTACAGAATTACCTGTAGTTTAAATAAATCAATGAAATACCACCACCACCACCACCACCACCACCACCACATTCTTATAATCCTAGAATGAAAACAAGGCAGTAGCAGCTGGCTCCCAGTTCTCATTATTTCCTATAGTCAGAACACAAAATATTTTGGGTTTTGTTGTGACAGATATTGAATGCTCAATCTGTTTTATGTTTCATTCCAACAGAACACAGCCAACCTGTCATAATTTTGACGGAATGTTTTGTTTTGTTGCGTATTTAAAACAAGACATTGTTCTGTTCAGCTGTCCATGCTGCCAATACTGCTTATTTAAAATCTTGAAACTGTTCCTGGTGTTTGAAATTCACTTCACTTATGTCTTACCTGTTTTTAGTGTATCTGAGAAAGTCTGGATGAATCACAAAGTATTGATCCAAATTGAAATTATCAAATTTATCCCGAGGCCTTGGTCTATAAAAACAAAATATATCTTTAGGCAAACTATGCAGAGTTCAAATCAAAGCTGGTTTGGCCAGCTTTTCTATAAGTTAGAGTGATGATGCAAGGTCTTATCTTTTCGCACACCGTATCTAAGATCAGAATGGGGAAAACTGAGGATTTGAAGTGTGTGTATATTCTTGGACAGTATTCTTAAGTTAAAGTCACATTGCAGTAAAGTAACATCTATTATTAAAAGGAAATGTGAGCAAACGTAGTGGGTTCACAGAGAGACCTTTTTGAAGACAAAAGAGAGAAGATGGGGGAAAAAATTAAGGAATGTGATTGTTTAAAAAGGGGGCAGAGGCATATGGCAAAAATGTGTGTGATATCATACACATATCGGGATATATGTATTTAATGGCAGTGTTTCGATGATGATAACTTGATGTGCATTTTGGCTTCCTTTGATTTGCTTAGGATTCTGCCCAGTCAAACTTCGGGTTTATCCACATGGCTTTGAGATGCTCACCTATCCTTTGTGAAGGACTTTTCCTCACTTCAGAGCTTCCTGCATATTGCCAGCCCATTCCTGAGGCAGGCTAAGATCAGGTCAAGGAAAGTGACACTTTCCGTAAGAAAATGGAACAAAACCTCCTCTGTAAACATTCTGTATTGCTAGGAAATGTTGGCAGCCTTCATGGCTCCAAATGATAAGACCCTGCTCTATCATTGGCAATAGGATTCTATGCCACCAAAATCATTCGTCCTTTGGTTGCCAGAGAGAACAAAACTTCATTAAAATTTTCTTTTTTTCAACTCAGGGAATATTGACCTTGTGGAATACCTACTCTGACATCAGATTTTCTGTTGCTGTAGCATCTTCTACCATGAAGGCCTTTGTGAAATGGCAATAATACAAAAACTTACTTTGCTTACCCTTCTCCTCTTTGGTCCTCCATCTCTGTCAATCATGGAAGGAATATTGCGGCAGTACATAGAAAATATGTCAACCTGTTCAACAACCTTTATTTGTGTGTTTGTGTGCTTTCCCCCCTCCTTTTTGGAATGATTAAAGTTATTACTGTGATGGTAGTACCTTTGATTTTTGACAGAATTGTGGGGGACTGAAAATTGTAGGCAAAGAAACTGGACCATTCAGCAAAATGGAAACGGACAATTGAATAAGAGGAAGGATCCCAGTCTTTTATCTTCCTATTCATTTCCAGGCATTTCAGAACACAAATCTTTAACAAGAAATGGGGAGGGCCACTTCAGTGGTGAAAGTCAACTTCAGAATGCTCTTAAAGCTGCTGGTCAAAGTACCATATAAGTCCCCAATGGGGGAGGGAAAGGGCACTAGAGGATAAGAAATGGGACAGTAGTTTTCAAAACAGCACACTTCACTCCCATTGTAAGAACAGGAGAAAGCACATCAGAGCAATAAGGAATAAGCCCTACAAAAGTCAATAGAAATTGTTATACTCAAACTCTTTATCTCTTTGCCATTTATTTTCATTAACAGTTAACTGATGGGCCACTAGAGATTCTTGAAAGCAGAACTCACAAAATTAATCTAAATTTTGCCTGGTTCATCTCCTGATTATTCATTAAAATATTGAGAGTGGGGGAATGTTTTCAAAGTTCTTATTTAAGAATGTATGTTTCTGTTAAGCCAATTGAGATGTGGGCACACTGGGCCAAAATGTTAATAAATTAGGAAAATGCAGCCATCCTTATTCATTAACGTTTTACACACTGAAGAAAGATTTTCAAAATGTTTGCAAGGAGTCAGCAATGCAAGGTCAACAAAAATTCTCCACACTGTGGAGGCAGAAAAATTGAAAGATAATAAAGAAAAGCCCACTTTGTCTTGATTCAGATATACTTTGGGGCTGATCTGAACATAACCTGGATAATATATATCTAAATAAAGGCAGTACATATAAACCTCTGTATCTGGACCTGCTTTCAACTGAAGATGTCTATTATGCTACATTATTTTTATGCATTTCAAAGGTGCATTTTCTGCCCATATTCTATTCATATACATTTCTGCATTTTCCTCCTCAGCAGCATCCAGAGTAAACCACATAATGACATGGCAGTGTCATCAGGCATATCTAATACCTTTATGTTTTTGCAGTCCAACACCTGAGGTTATGAGATTATGCAAATCACAACATGCCTCCCCTTGTCTTCCATTGTGGGTGCCCTTATCCAGAAAGCACAGCACTACTCACCCATAATAGTCCAAAAATCCCTTCCTGACATTGGCGTTCAGAAGAAGAGCTTTCAGCCATTCATAATCTCTTGCCCCTTCCAGGAAGTGCAGATACTTGATCTCCTAGGAAAAATGCCACAAATACATTTGGAGGGGGCACAGCAGATGGAATGCCACAGCATAAAAGATAGGGCTGGGCATTCTCTGCTGGTCTTAGGTGAAAGAGGGATAAATCAGAGTTGGGTTGTGAAACTTGAAGGAAGATTTAAGGTTTTCTAATATAAGGTGCTCTCACAACTAATGTTCAACTAGGAGGAGGGGAAATATAAGGATATCTGCCTTACTTTTCCTGCAGGGATCTTCTTGAATCCACGATTCCCCAGAATCATAACTGAAGTCACTAAGGAGAAGGCTGTGAATCCATAAAAAGAAGTTCTTGTTCCCACATCTTTCTCATAACCCTTGATCACAGCTCCACTCACTCTGGTGAAAGAGACCATATAAAATCACCAAGTTAGATAAGTGGAGCTAGTTCAGGTACATATGCATACTTTGCGAGATTCCCAGGAAAAATAAATAAATTAGTGCAGACATATCAAACACAAGGCCCGGGGGCCGGATACGGCCCGCAAAGTGGTTTCATATGGCCCGCGAAGCCATCCTGGAAACAGTGAGGGAACGGCCCCCGCTGTCTTGGCCCTGGCCCAGGCCAGACAGGAGCCAATGTACAATTTTGTGGTGGCCATCTATGCTGAAATGCATTCAGTCTGGAAACAGCGAGGAGCCAGCCCCTGCCGTGTCGGCCCCGCCCCCTGGGTGCATGCTGGGAAGTTGTCACCCTTTGTGAGGAATGAAGAAATGGACCATGCCTTGGCGCTTGCCCCAGTCCCATCCCCTTCTGCCAGAGACCCTCAGATCTGTCCCACTCCTGCCCAGGCCCCCACAGGCACCCTTAACGCGAATGATATAGAGCTGGCCATGCCCACCCATTAGGCCACACCCACTCCATCCACGCCCACCCATTAGGCCACACCCACCCTGGCTACACCCACCCAGCCCCCTGAGGGCAACCACAATGCTGATGTGGCCCTCAGTGAAATTGAGTTTGACACCCATGAATTAGTGGAATCCTGATTTTGATAACCAGAATTCCAAATTGGCTTTGAAGCAGAAAAAAATTGTTTTTCTGTCATTTTAGCAAAGATTAAGAGTCAGTATTCAAAACATGCAATTCTCTGGCAGATTCCAGGGGAATATTAAGATACATTCCACACATGCATACCCATCAGTTGACGAGTGAGGATTGCTGTCATAATTCTAACTGGATGTAGGGAATGTCTTCCCTTTAAGCTGTCCCAGAGCACTATTGTGGGCTTCTTTGCTCCTCCAAACACTAACAACAATCCTCCCCCCCTATCTAATTTCCCCAGTGTCTTCCAATAAGTCATCCTCTGGTGCTTCCAGCTGGCCAATGGGAAAGTACAAAAAAGCAGCTAAACAGCTGTTTGATGTGGAAAAAAAAAATACTCCCAGCCAGCCAGTCACTGTGGAGAAATCATCTAGGAAGAAGATGGTGCCACATCTTAGGATGCGGGAGGAAATCTTAGGCACCAGGAAGCGGAACAAGATGAAAATTTCCACCAATGGGAATCCATCTTCTTTGCTGCTCTAGGAGGAAACTTGCAAAACTGCCCTGCTCTGGAAAAAGAACTGAGCTGATAGTTAATCAGCTCAGTTTCCCAAGGTCTTTGCCCACAGGGATAGTATGAAAAAAACTTCAGCCTATCAAATATGACAACCAAACAATCACTTTGTTTTTCAAGAAAATATAGCAGTGCTATATTAGTTGTCATGGTTCCGATAAATGTGACCAGAAGAAAATAATAACTCTGAGGCAATTGCATTCCTCAAAGAATACTTTTAATGGCTACATAGTATCCGCAAGGTCAAAGGTGAAACCAAGACTGAAAGTCCCCCCCCCCTCAAAGGTTACAAAGTAAAAGTTGAACTCCCCACCCCTTTAATATGTCATAAATAACAATCCCCAATTAACTACTTTGGCAGGCTGCCTAATGGTAGTTTCAGCCCAGCCAAATACTTAGGTACTTTCTTGGTTCCCACAAGAAAGTTATTGTTATGGCTAAACGAGAAGAATGTATCTCCTCCCTCCCATCACTGTGACAACTGAAAACAAAGTAAAGATGGCTGTGACCAGAAACTGTTTGGGTAAAACTAAGGAATCACCCAGACATCTTGCTTGCCATGGCATGAAGAAATCCCACTGTTTGGGGAAGATGAGAACACACAATATTGTCTTCTGTCAGTCTATCTACTCTGTCTCTCCGCAAAGGCAGCCACTGCTTTCTCTTCAATTGCTTCAGGTTGTATTTGCCAGCTTCTTCTACCAGTAGAAGTGCACCTGGACTGACAGACTGAGCATCAGACTAAGGTAAGATTAGAAGCAGGTACCACTGCCCCACTGAAGCTGCTGCAGACACAAAGCCCTTTCTCTGGTTTTTGGCCTCTGATTTTTAGCTCCATTAGCTTTCTGGCACTGGGAGAATCACAGCTTCCTCTCTGTGCCAGAACACCATCTCTCTCACTTCTCTTAATAAAAAAAAATCTCTCCCATCTCTTTTAGTAATCAATAGGTGACCAGCAAAGTAGCAAGAGGAGGAGGGAAATAAGTATATTTGGTATCAGTTTCTCCTGGTCCCCCAAAAACATACTTCTCTCCATAGACTGGAAAATGAAGAGCCATTTACCAGTTCTGTTCCTCTAAGTGGATGTAAGAAAAGTGGGGTGGAAATAGCTAGCACCTCAAATCTTGCTGTAACACAGAATACAAAGAGGACCAATACAGCTATCTACTCCAATACACCTTGGGGGGTTGCTTTTTATTCCTGAGTCCAGCAGTCTTCTGAAAGGTGCCTGGCTACCTGGGTAAAGAGTCCCTGCTATAATATAGATGATACAGCAGCTAAGCTGGAGGAGAGGAGGTAACTATGCTGCAGGAATGACAGCAGAAAAATTGTGACTGTGCAGGTGGCATCTTAAAACTGCATACAACTTCAGGCTTTTTGCAGAACTACAGTTCGTCTTACCGGAACACATAATCATGAGAGTCAATTTCCTTGCCCATTCTTGAATTATTCAGTATCCCTCCATTTCCTACAACTGCACAAGTGATGCACTTGGAGGTCTGACTGCCATTACGTGCAAAGAGAATGTGATGGTAGGGTTTAGGAGGAAGCATGGATATCACTTCTTTTACCACTGGAAAGAAATGAGACACAATTATTCATTGGAAGAAGCTAGCAGGTTTCATAAAATAAGACAGCTCCAAACTGGGTAGGACATAATAGACAATTCAGGCATGACACAACAATTAAATTAGAATATATTACATTGACTATATTGTCTTGGCATTGAAAGTTCAGTTGTGCATAGAGCTTGTGATCTTCTCTGATATAAATTGAATCTGGAATTGTCAGTGCCACTACATGGGCCTGACCAGGAACTAAAAAGTTAAAGTGTCCTCCCTAAATCACTGGGGTATAGGAAGGAGAAAGAAGTGCGACACTGACATGTAGACATGTAGGATTCTATTATTATACAGGCAGTCCTCAGTTTACGATTGTTCAGCAGACACTCAAAGCTACAATGGTGCTGCATGAATGGTACTTACAACCTGTCCTTGAAAATTCTGACCAACCTCCTGCAGTCATGTGATTGTGATCTGGGCACCTGTCAATCAGCTCACGCACTTAAGATGGTTGCAGTGTCCCATGGTCATATGATTATCATTTGTGACCTTCCCTGCCAGTTTCCTACAAGAAAAGTCAATGGGGAAGTAGGCAGAGATCATGCTGAGACTATGGACTTTTCCCTTATCACAAGATGGGGAAACATGGAGCAGGTTTGGGGTGAATGGACTGATAACTGGCTCAGTATATGACTTCTAATACCTTCTGCCAGAAGTAGTCTTGCTTTTAACCCATACTATGCACCCCATAATAGAGATGCTCACATGAGAAGTTTAGCTCCATGAAGCCAAACGGTGGAGCAAAATGGTCCATACGCTTCCATTCACTGTCACTGAAGTGACTCCTGTCCATGAAGACTGTGATGTTGGGTAGGAAAATATCATGTAACCAATCAGATTTGGCAGCCTTGTTCCTCAGAGAATCTGGGCAGGTCTAAGAAGTGGAGAAAGAAGGGAAGAAAAGTTATGAGACAACTGTTCGAAAAAACAGTTTTGTCCAATCACAGCAGCTTTTCATTCTTGTTGACTATTTTACAGAGTTCCAGCAATAATTGATATGAATGAGATCTCAAACTAAATATGATGTACACATTGTCAGATATTCTAATAAATAATCCTAAGGCTGTGATTTTTTTTTTTAAGTACCGGTAAATGTTTTCTTGCTGATTTTTCTCCCCTATGGAGTGTTCCTTTTCTTTTTCTTTTTGGTGATGGCAGTAGAATATTTCCATATATTAAGTTTTCTTTAAAGAATTCTATGAGGGGGCCGAGATACTGCTCTCCAGTTGTAATCCTCCAATACTCTTAATATTTTCCTACTCTTCTCTTAGCAAAAATTGATCTGTTAAAAGTAGCAAAATTCCTTGAGACTGGTAATACCAGAAACCATCTGTCTGGAAACACTCTTGGTTAGGCATCAACTAGAACCAGTGAAATATTTTAGAAAATCTATGCAAGGAATCCTAATGTAGATGCTAGATTAGAAGAATATTTAATATTCATGTCTGTATATGGAAAAATAACTGAATTTCTACTTCTCCCCGGCATGGTACAGCACAACCACAACAAGAACTAGTCTTCAGATTCATCTTCTGTGGATATTGTTACAGCATATCTTTAAGAAGTATCGCTCTTTTCCCATTCCATAGGGTCCCATGTAACCCTATCCAGAATCATTTAGATATCTAGATGGACAATGCCTAAATCTGATAAATAAATACAAAATAAATTTGGATTATTTAGCTAGAGAGTTCAATTCCAAAGCTGTCTGAAACCTGGAACATGTGGCAGGCAACCATGACATTTACTCTCACTGAGTTCTGGTAGAAGTTAAGTTAAGCCAATGTTACAGCCCAGAATGGGCATTCATAATATATGGTTTCCAAGAAAAATTAAGTGAAATTAAGTGAAGAGAACAGGAAGCATCATGTATCACAATAAAACCTACCCCTTGTTTGATTATATCACAGAACATAATTGTTAATATATGTGTATTGCAGCAAAAACAAACATTTTTTTTAAGGAAATTTATGGTAAGATCATGCAATGGTTACTTACTGACGGTGGTGTTGAATTATCCAAGAGATAAATGTCATCAAATTTCCAGCGGGGCTCAGATTTAAAGTCAGCTGCTTTTAACCTTTTAGGCGTTGTTGCTAAAGGAGCTGGATGCGTGACTTGTTGCACATCAGACACTGATGCCTTGGCAGAGTGTTCTTTAATTAGGTTTATTTTGTTGGATTGTTTCCTCAGGTTAGTTTGATTTCCTGTAGAGGGCAGTGTGGCATTTTTATCGTGAAACTGTGGTTGTTTGGCTGCTTTTCCTGCAGACTGCTTTCTTGGGGATACTGGTGTCACATGTTTAGCCTTTGCTTTCTCCTTTTCTTCATTGCCCGGTGCCATATATTTTTTTGTTTCTCCCTTTTTGTTGGATGCTGGTGTAATACGCTTCCCATCTTTATTAGATGACTGGGTTTCAACCAAAGTTTTGGCATGGTTTTGACTTGCTGCAGGTATCTCCTTACTGTCTTTGGTTTGAGTTTTATTTAATGAAGGCCTTTCTTTCTTCTCGGCTGATTTTTGACTGGTTTCCACTATGACCAGCCTACTCCTGGTTTGCTTTTGAAGTGATGTTGATGCATCTTGGAACTCAGCCTGCCTCTCAGGGACATTGTAATTTTCCAATCCTTTCACAGGATCTTTCTGCAGGGAAGAGCTGCCTGGTCCCGCTCTTGTATCTGGAAGCTCTAATGGCTTTGGGTTGGTAGCTACAACTTCTTGAACATCATTTTGGATGTCAAATAGAGGCACTTTTTTGATATGTTGAAAACTAAAGAAATGGCTGAAATGCAGTTAAAAAGATAGTTACATTCAGAATGTATTTAAAGTAGTCCATATGTCTAACATTTGGAACGCAGATGCTTACATATCATAAAATCAAAAACCTAAGTAAATTTCTCAAACCCACCTGAATTGCCGAGTTCCTATTCAGTTAAACTTCAGAGATATTTTGGAATTGAAATAGTTGCCTTTTAAATCACCCTCTTTTATCATTTTAAATACTGCACCTGATTACAAATTTCTGTAGGTATACTTTTAGTATCTAGTTAATTCAAGATAATTTCTTTAAGAAAAAATACCTGTGAATAGTATAGACTAGATAGTGCATATAGAGCAAACTATCTTGGCTATTAAATTTTACATTCTCTCTTTAGGTCACTTGGAAGGACTTGGGTATCTCATTCAGAGGCAGAATATCTTGGCATTTATTGATTAAATATTAATTTTTTTGTTCTGACTTCACCTACTTTTTTCATTTATCAGACCACTGTGTTGGCTTTTGTTCTTCTTCTGATCATTCCATTCCCACATATCATTACCTCAGCCTTGGTACACGGTAGCTATTTTAGTAATAATCACTAATAGTACTTTTGCCCTTTAAGCCAGTTATATTTTGATTGGATTGTCTTTGCAATTTGTTGTATGTTGGATTTGGCTTTATTATAGGCAGAAGAAATAACTAGTAAGGGTTTTGGTTTCCCTATGAACCAAAAAAAAAAAAGCAGATAATGAAGGAGAGATAGGAAGACGGATACAAAAGGTTTTCTTCATTCTTATTCTGACCCTTTCTTCAATGATCAGAATTTGGGTTGCCCTATTAAATTTCCCCTCTAGATTTGACGTGTGAGTGGGACGGGATGAATCAGTCCTAATTTTGTCTGTTTTAAAATATGACACAGGACTTATTTAAGCTGGAGCGTATCGGGGAGGACTATCGTGTGTATCTACCACATTGACTTTATACCCCATATCTACTGCTGTTCCCAGTCCTCAGACCACAGCAAAATAAACTAGGGCCCATATACAGCTAGCAATCCAAAGCCCAGTTATGGAACAGACCAATTCACACTCAGTCAAAAGTAGTAATTTATTGAAAGCATTTACAAATGAATAAGGTTAACAATGTAGAAAAGTGGACTACATTTTCTATCCATTGGAAATGCTTTGCAGTCCAAACTGATTATAGCAAGGAATGAATTTCTAACATCCCTTCCATACGGTTCTTTCTTGTCTAATCAAGAGGCCAGACCTGTAAAAGAATTGAGAACTCACGTTGGGTAGATGGAAGGTATGAACAAGCAGTTAAGGGAGAACTTTCACAACAGATTACATGGAGTGTCAAAAGAGGGAAGTTTGAAGAAAAAAATGGGAAAGATAGAAGAGGAATATTGCCAGCAGGAAGATGGATGGAGCCAATTACAGTGATGGTGAATGCACCAATGGAAGGCTTGAAGCATCAAGTCAGGGACAGATTATCGTAGAGAAAACCTACCTATGTGATCATTAAGTCCACAACACAATAATAGCACATAATTAATAAAAACAGCAATGAACATTCTTAGGAATCCTTACAGTGCCTGTTTTTGATGTGGCCAATCTCAAAGGTTCACAAGACCACTCAGTAATGCATTTTGTACTTGGCTTTAGGATGCAAATGTGAGGAATGTACCAAAAGATGTTATAATGATATATTTGCTGGGGTTCTCCACCATAATTTATAGACTGGATTTTCATTTAATTTTGTCAGTGGAAAAGATAAGCAAAACTTCTACTTTTTTATAGTCACTATAAATTTGATACATCAGTATCTCTCATGGTAAGAAAGCATAATCAGTACACCTCTCCAGATATGTTTATATAAATATATTTAGATATATTTATCTAGATTATCCAGATTTATTTATATGCAGTGAATTAACAAAAGGAAAAAAAACACCCCAGTGTACAAATACTGTTGCCAACTCTATAACGAAACTGGCTGCAGCCATTTTGCTTGTTTTAGGTTGCCACAAGAATGGGAAGGGGTGCGGAGAATCTGTACTAGTCTAAACATTTTACTATCCCGTGGGAATCAGTAAAGGTCATTTCTGTCAGTTAGATGGGGGGGGCATTTAGTTAGAAAGCCCACCAAACTCTTCTATTGGGGAACGTAGCTGATTGCATAGCATTGGGGTGGGAAGTTCAACTTCGTAATATTGTCTCTCTTTGAAGGGCATTTCAGACTTGATTTCACTTTTGACCATGCAGATACTATGTAACCAATAAACATGTTCTTTGAGGAAATCTCAAGTCTCGGAATTCTGATTTGTTTGGTTTTGTCTGTTGGAACCTTGACAACTGTCTAGTAGATGGTTGTAAAGCAGTTTTTCCTTCTTTTATAATTATCTAGGGTTGCCATTGCAGCTCATAAAAGACATTTGAAAAGATTTATTAGCTAGGCAAAGGGACAAAACCAGATCATGATGGGAAATAGTTTACAATGATTGACATGTTGACATCAAGTTAAAGAAAATCTGGTCAACAACCAACAGTGTTTTTATGCCTCAACTGCCATGGTTTTGAAAAACAGGGTTATGATGATATACCCATTTATCATTCATGGACAGGCATAAAGTGCTTATATACAAATGCTCAAAGCTTGGGGAACAAACAGGATGAACTAGAAGCAATAGTACACAAGGGCAGGTATGACATAGTTGGCATTACAGAAACTGGTGGGACAAACCCAATGACTGGAATGTACTGATGAATAGATACAAATTGTTCAAAATAGATTTACAGAAAGAGGAGGGGGGAGTTGTACTATATGTAAGAGAACACTACATATCAAAGATAAAATCCCTCCAGAATGTATATGGGTCAATATAAAAGGGAAAAAAGTGACATTGCCATAGGTGTATATTACAGACCACCCAACCAATTGGAAGAAATAGATGAACTCTTTGCCAACCAGTTAACAAACACACAAAGATGAAGTCAGGAAAGCAAAGGCTCAGAATGAACGAAGACTTGCAACAGAAATCAAGGACAATAAAAAAAAGTTTCTTTCAACATATTAATAACAAAAAAAGTCAAGGAAACTGTAAGAGAGAAGATGGCAAGAAAGTATCAGGCAGTAGAGAGAAAGCAGAACCGCTTAATTCATTCTTTGCATCAGTCTTCACACAAAAAGAAATTATAGCCCAACATACAAAAAAAACCTACTGTGAAAGACAAACTAGAAACAAAAATTAAAATAAGCAAGAAAATGGTAAGAGAACACCTATCTGACCTTGATGAATATAAATCACCAGGATCCAACAGATTACATCCCAGAGTTCTGAAGGAGCTGGCCTCTGTTATCTCAAAACCATTGCACCATATCTTTCAAAAATCCTGGATCACTGGGGAAGTACCTGAGAATTGGAAAAGGGCTGATGTGATTCCCATCTTCAAGCAAGGGAAAAAAACGGACCCAGGAAACTACAGACCAATCAGTTTAACATCAATACTTGGGAAGATCCTAGAAAAGATAATCAAAAAACAGACTAGAAGCAAACAAAGTTATAACCAGTAGCCAGCACGGGTTTGTTGAAAACAGATCATGCCAAATCAATTTTATTTCATTGTTTGATAAAGTGACTAAATTAGTAGACCAGCAAAACGCTGTGAATATAGTATACTTAGATTTCAGTAAGGCACTTGACAAAGTAGGCCACAACCTGCTGCTTGTTGTTGTTGTTAATTGTGAAGTCGTGTCCGACCCATCGCGACCCCATGGACAACGTTCCTCCAGGTCTTCCTGTCCTCTACCATTTTCTGGAGTCCATTTAAGTTCACACCTACTGCTTCAGTGACTCCATCCAGCCATCTCATTCTCTGTCGTCCCGTTCTTCTATTGCCCTCAATCTTTCCCAGCATTAGGCCCTTTTCCAGTGAGTCCTTCCTTCTCATTAGGTGGCCAAACCTGCTGCTTAGTAAGCTAGAAAAAAATGGGATAGACAACACCACCACCAGATGGATCTGTAGCTGGCTGATAAATGTACTCAGCAAGTAGTCCTCAATGGTATTACATCCACATGGAGAGAAGTAAGCAGTGGGGAACCACAAGGTTCCATCTTAGGCCCAGTACTCTTCAATATCTTCATTAATGACTTAGATGAGGAAATAGAAGGGGAACTCATCTAATTTGCAGATGACACCAAACTGGCAGGAATAGCCAATACCCCAGAAGACACGCTCAGGATCCAAAAAGGTCTTAACAGACTTGAACAATGGGCTCTACCCAACAAAATGAGTTTTAATGTGGAGGAAAACAAAGTTTTATATTTAGGCAGGAAAAAATCAAAGGTTTAAATACAGGTACCAAAAAAGCTAATATAATCCTGGGTTGTATAAACAGAGGCATAGAATCAAGATCACGTGAAGTATTAGTACCGCTTTATAATTAAACTCTAATAAGACCACACCTGGAATACTGCAGCCAATTTTGGTCACCATACTACAAAAAAGATGTTGAGACCTTGGAAAAAGTTCAGAGAAAAGCAACTAAAACGATCAAAAGCCTGCAAACTAAAACATATGAAGAATGGCTGCAGGACTTGGGTTTGGCTAGTTCAGTGGTTCTCAACCTGTGGGTCGGGACCCCATTTGGGGTCGAATGACCATTTCACGGGGGTCGCCAAACAACGCAGTCCGCCATTTTTTTCCCCTTTTCCTTAGCTGTGCTACTCCCTTTTATTCTATTGGCTTTTGAAAGCCAATAGAATAGACTCTCTTGAATAGAGTCTAATTCTATTGGCTTTCAAAAGCCAATAGGAATTGTCCAGGCTGTCTCTACCCTGCTGAGCCCACCAAAAGTCCCATTCTGCAAACGGTGCTGCACCAGATGAGTAGTCCTCGACTTACGACCGGTTGAGTAGTCCTCGACTTATGACCAGTTGGGGGTCGCGGCATTAAAAAGATTGAGAACCACTGGGCTAGCTAGTCTAAAGAAAAGAAGAAATAGGGATGACATGATAG